AAAGGAAACAGATCTACACCATCCAACTACAGACCCATCCCTCTCACATCAATTTCTTGTAAGATACTTGAATATATGATACATGTACAAAGTATTTAGTAACATCATGGCCCATTTCGACAACAACATACTGTCTGACTCCCAGCAAGGCTTCCGTCTACGTCGCTTTAGTGAATCACAGCTACTCACCACTGTGAATAACCTTGTCATAGGACTTGACAAGAATAAGCAAATCGACGCTATCTTGCTCGATTTCAGGAAAGCGTCCGACAAGGTCTCGGACACACGAATGCTGATGAAGCTAGACAATTGCAGGGTCAGAGGCAACACACTGAAATAGGTCCAAGGATTCCTTTTTGGCAGAACACAGCGCGTGGTCCTGGAAAACTCACACTCCAACACATCCCCAGTCACCTCAGGAGGGCCCAAGTGGATGGAGTCTTGGGTCCACTGCTGTCTAAGCCCCCCACGATTACACGTTTATACGGATTCGTTTCGATTTTCATTCATAAACGTTTACGATATTGTTTACCGTTTAATCGAAATGACCATATTGTCTTACAAAATTTCTTAATCATTGCCTGTAATCATGGATTTTATCAATTCTAGTGGTTTATTCCAAAGTAAACAAACGGAAAATGGGTGTTTACAACCCTCCACACAGCATTACCGTGCAAAATTGCTCGTGACATAATACATTTTTGGTAAAAAATGGGGTTACAATGCAAAAAATGTGTGCTGACTCAATCGTGATGAGCCTTGCACATTCTTTATTTGTACATGTATTAAAAATAGAAAGAAAGACATTATTTGGCGACTCAAATACATGGTGTGTATAGTACATAGAGGTACCACCGTTTAAACGGTATCGTTTCGGTTCTTAGCAGTCGTGTAAACGTTTACAAAAAACTGTAAACGTGGGAGCCTTACTGCTTTCCCTGGCTTTCAACGACCTTCCGTCTAGGGTGAAGTCGGGGACTGGCATGTTTGCTGATGACTGTCTCCTCGATAGGACGATCAGGAGCCAGGACGATGCCCTGTGCCCTACAAGGTGTCCTCGACAGCTTCCAAGTCTTGGACAAGGAATGACAAATGAAGTTCAATGCTGCCAAATTGGAGGTCATCCGAATAAACACAAAGAGGAACCCCATCATCTTCCGACATGAAATACACCAGACAATCCTCAATGCAACCGACCAGGCCAAGTATCTTGGAGTTACCATCACACCAGACCTATCATGGAAATACCATATTGACAACATTACTAAAAAGCCAACTCAACCCTAGCATTCCTGCGTCGAAACATTCGGTCAAGCCCACCAGAGGCAAAAGCCAAAGCCTACAACACCAACTTACGTCCAGGCATCGAGTAAGCCTCCTCTGTACGGTCATCTACTGCTGACAGCTACATCAACGAACTAAAGGTGGTCAAAAGAAGAACAGCACGGTTCGACAAGAACGACTACTCACGCCAGAGCAGCGTCACAGAGATGGTAAGCTCTCTACACTGGACCACACTACAGAAGAGACGGGACATGGCAAGAGTAACCATGCTCTACAAGATCAAGCATGACCCTGAGGATCCGTCACTACGTAGTGCAAGAACATCAAGAGGCAACCCACAGCAACTCAGCCAGCTCACATGCAGGAAATCTATGTACCAGAACAGCTTCTTCCCGGCTACTATCATCCTCTGGAATCGCCTACTCATACAAGATTTTTGCCCGCCTTTAGACTACACGTGTATATTTAAATGGAAATAAAATATAAAAAACATATATAGAATTATAATATCTATCAGTGAAATTTTCAGTATCATTTTATGTTGGGTGCCGTAACGCAATGATAAACGGCGGGGTATTCCGATAATGGAATAATCGCAACTTTTGGACTTACATAGGTTATGCATAGACTGGTTCCCTGCACACTGCTATGGGAACCATTATAGAACAGGGAACCAGATTAAACGGAAGCATGGCATTAAATACCGAATGGCATTTTTAAAACGGAAAATGTAAAATAAAAAGCAACGTTTTTTTATCAAATTTCCCCAGCCTCATTTTTTTATCTATCATTATGTATACATTTTTCATTTTCTATGACTCAACTGAACAAGTACGTTTACATGGCCGTAATATAATCCAAAGAAAAACACAACAACTTTCAAATAACACCTGATTTCTGCAATAATGAATAACAAGAGCGTAGCGGTTGATATCTTTGTATGGCTTGGAATGCTTTTTTAAAAATGAAAGAGTACATAAATAATAGTTTTCTCGTGAGTAATACTAATAAATATTAATTAAGTTAAATGTTACTTAATACTAAGTTAAAACTGTTTGAAAAGAAAAACAAAAGAGCATGTACGTAAGATAGTTACCGTACTCGGAATAGGTTGCTTTTTAAAAGCTTCAATCGCTACGCTTTCTTGTCTGTAATTTCTTTTTTTTCAAATCTATTTTCATTAAATCATTAATGCTACATATAGTTATAAAATGAATTTTGAAAACAAAGAGTCTTTCAGTTTTCCAAGCTGTGTATTACAGACGGCGGACTTTTGTAAAGACGATAACTTTGTCATATAGGTATTGGATACTATTTAAGACTCGTCGACAGGTGCGATTATTATTCAGTTGGCGTGGAAAAAAGATAAAGTGGACTTAATTCTTTGATTGTACAAAAACTAATGTAATCAATATAGATATATGTAAACGGAATGAATACTTGACGTACCGTATTGAAATACAGTATTTATATAGGTTGATGACGGGAAAATAAAGCCCCCATTACAACCATATATCAATATATATTTTGTCTTTGTATTTTTTCTAAACAGTTTTTATTGATGAAAACAAGTTTGACAAATTTTGTTTTAAAACACATATCCCTGATAAATATAAATGTTTTATAATATAATTAGTTTTTTGTTTAATTAAATGATTAACACGAGGTGCTATATATGTTTATATATAGTAAATCTCTCAGATAGCATACCAAGTTTATCCTTTTTGGGCCTTTCCAAATATAGGTAAAGTCAAATAATCAGCTTAGGCACACATTTATGTTACCGTGTCGTATATCTTCCAATCAGACGCTTAGGATAGTACATTAACAGTGTTAGTGGCCAATACATTCAAAAGCTTCGAAGTAATGAAACAACATTGCCTTGGTAGATTAGATGGTACCTCTACAAATTACCATTTTAAAAAGTAAATATAGTATTATTGATACTATTATCTGATTAAAAACAGAGTACCTGTTACGTAAAATAAAAGATGCAAAACTCTAAGCTAGAACAAGCCTCAATAGTCAATATCTTTCTAAAAAAGTGCATAAAACGTAAGCACTTTCATCATACACATGTCAGTCTGTTGTCAAGCAAATAACACTATTTTTTCTGAAGTAACATTATCTTCGTTTGTTAGGATACATACATGTATAAATAAATAAATAACTTATTACGAACGAATTATGATGGTTCACTTCAAACATCGTATACACCTACTTCTACTACTTCTCCTCGCTTTAAAGCATCGAGTACTTTTGTAATAGTCATAAGTTTGGATTTTTATATCTTAATTTGTACGATAATTTCAATGTTCAAGTTATTTGCTTCCTTGGGTCGTTGTATGTGGTTTCTTTGTTGCTTTAAAGCATCGAGTACTATTGTAATGGTCATAAGTTTGGATTTTTATATCTTAATTTGCACGATAATTTCTATGTTTAAAATTATAATTTCACCTTCTGTAACCATGACAATTGTTAGAAATTCACTTGGGGCTAAAATGACCTAACAGGTGTATTTAAAATAGCAAATAATATGAGGAAAGGAGGATCCAGCAGGAGCATTGTACACAATATTTACAGTTGAAAATTGCAGACTCGATTTAAGTGGGTCAATTCATGAGAGATCATGAAAAAGCAGATTCTCTAACACACCTAGCAGGTTTCTTCCTGATTAAAGACAGGTCAGTAGATTATTTTCTTTCTTCCTTTTTTATGAAACAACTAGGGCAACATCTTGAACATACAGTTTTAATCTGTTTCTGTTTCCTTTTTTTCTAAAAATATGTTATATGAATTAAAATTGTTAAGATTTTAAAAAGATATGAATACGTGTTATTTCAAGTTATTTATCTATTTCCACTGTATATACGAATAATTATATATCGTGCAATGGAATGTTGACCCATTTTAGAATGATTTTATTATTTTGGTTTGATAGAATACCCTACAGTTATACCACCATGCATTCTAAGTTAGACAAAGTTTTGTTTTTTAAAAAATAAAACAATTTTTGTATAAGATGTTTTAAATTATTAAATTTCGGAAATTAAATGTATATGTATATTTAGACCACCATCTCATATCAAGAATACATATACCTTTGGCCAAAGAAGACAGATATGGCCCACAATACTGTGCCAGTTTACATGAAAGTTCTTTTAGAGAAAATTCTTTCTTTAAATATCAAAATTGAAAACCAATTGCATGGTCTAGACTTTTTTAACATTTTCTTAATTTTAAGATATACATGTACTTTGCTCTAATTTGAAAATATTGATAATTGCTACACAGTCTTTTTGTAGATATGAAATATTCAAAAAGAAGATATGGTATGCTTTCAATCCTACATACAATAATTAAGTGGACATACTATGAATACATAGTATCATTAAAAAGACGGGCATTATTTTAAAGAATTAATCAGCTTTACTTGACCGGTAATAAGGAACGCAGATTCCAATACATAGTTTGTACATTCTTTTATTTAAATAAGACATATTCATTAAGATTTTTATACATTTCAATAAAAAACATTTACTCAAAGATGAGCATTCTATATCTTTAACGTATCTAATAATAAAACATCTGGGTTTAATAATATATTAAGAAATGAATGATGCATTTCACAGGAACCATAATTGAAATTACGAAAAAACAAATGAAAAAGAAAAATAAAACACAAAAAACAACAACAAAAACAACAACAACAAATAAACAATATGTACATTTTCTGTAAGAAGTAACTTACACATCGGATTTTTCAAAAACCCAATACTATTATTAGTTCTATCTATTACTGGGTACTCATAAGCCAGCCCGCATAGCTCAATCGGTTAAAGCGCGAGACTTGTAATCTCGACATTGTGGGTTCGATTCCCGGGCTGGCCACCTAAAATTACTAATCAATCTTTCGGATGAGACTTTAAATCGAGGTCCCGTGTATGGGTGCTTAATCACTCGGCACGCTAAAGAACCAGGAGAAGCTTCTGGAATTGGGGCATCTTTCTGTATCTGTAATTGCACTATCGTCCAAAAAAATAAAATAATTAATACTCTTCTGGAGGACTCGCCCATATGGGCAACCGGTGGCGAGTATAAATAAACGCAAATACACACATACGCGTACTCATACTAATGTTTATTTATATCTACACTTTCGATTGCATTCACCCTGTGAGGCCCATCCCTGATCATTATTTACAGTTAGAAAGAAAAACTATCCCTTTTAACTAGAACATAACCACATTTCATGTATTTTTGCTAAATCTCAAGTAAATAGATTCATAATAGGCAGACGTTTTTTGTTAGCTTTTCAGAATATCGTCCCAGAAAATATAGTCTTTAATTTGTATGCAAACTGCTTTTTTTAAGAGCTCGTCAATAAGATCAATTGTTATTCCATGCTCGGATAAATGAGCCCTTTGAAGAAAATATACTTTTCTATATCCAGAATCGTTATTGTACCCAGCTAGGTGTATATGTTTTATAGTGTACCTTGATTTATTCAAAATGGTAACTAAACAGTCACGTGGCACACTGTTCATATCACATATTACTGTATGGAGTGAATCTAAACTTTTCAGATATTGCCAGACCGGTCCTGGCAAAACACGATTCCTTAAAGTAAGAGTCGTAATGCTACAAGGTTTAATGTTGAAAAGTGTGTCAAAAATTGATACGGAAGCTGCATTCTTATTCTTGAACACAAGCGACAATTTTCCTTCAAACACAATATCTCTTAGCCGCATTTCTGTGTCATCATGATAACTATTTTTACTTTCTTGCAAATAAGTACATATAGTTGCTTGAAGTCGACTTACTTTTGATAACCCTGCTATAAATCCCGTCTCTTTTCTATCACGATATTGCTCAATAACTGCGTCATTATCAGCTAGTTTACAAATATGTTCAGATATATGGTACATAATAGATGGCTTCATCCCGCTCAAGAAAAGAAACACGTTTGAAAATTCAAACACGTTCTCCACTGTTGAACAAGCACGTTGTATATGATTCTTTGTTTCAGCTGAAAATTCCCTTGAGATATAGATAGCGGCAAACAATTCTTGATAAGACTTGTGCAGAAATGAAACCTTTTTTACTGGAAACATATTTGAAATTCCGAGAATTTTCTTTTGAGACAGTAAGCCGAGTGTCAAACAAAGCCGGATTGTATTTTGCGATAATCCATATGACGAAAGATCCGAGTCTTTAAATACTAAAGATTTTTCCCTATCCTCGGAAAACAATGTTTGAAATGCAAGTTTGGATAAGGTCATTATGACAGGTGAGAATTTCTTACAAGAAGATTTGTTTCGAAACACAGCTGGTAACTGCTCTTCCTGTAGCTCGTCAAGCAATACCTGAAATCCTTCATCATAGCGACTTTTCTTCATTGCTGTAGAAAGTAAAAGATCAAGAATTGCGCAGTAAATACTAGTAGTCGCTTTTTCAAGTGACTTTGTTTCTAACCAAAGGCATAGTAGAAGTTTAAGCATCAATGGTATAGGCAGAAGATGTTGCATCTTCTTTTCCTGAACTTCAGCAAAAAACTTTTTAGATTCTCTAGCAAATTCCTGGACTTTAAGATATAACAGCAAGACATTCACAAGACGTTCTGAGTTAATTCTGCTTATTCCTTCGACCTTAAGTTCTATGTCATTTTCAGTGAGTTTCGGGCATATACTTTCAATTTTCCATGGCCTTGATGTAAATAGCTTCGTGTAACAGTTCTTATAAATAGGTAAACCTTCCGGAATAGCCGGGTGCGTATCAAAACCTTTTGGATCCCATTCGTCAAGTCCATCAAGTACAAATAAGCAAGACTTTGGTTTGCTTTGAAGCGTTCTTCTTATGAACTGACTATGCTGAAATCCTGACAAAAGCTGGTTTTCTACCATCTCTTCAATAGTTGTTTCTTTGTTTAAATCCCTAAGTGAAATGAACAGAAGAAAGTCAAAGTTTTTCATTCTTTCTACAGCCTTTTCGTCGTATTTAGAAAAGTTGGTCATATGATTGTTCAAACTGTGAGCAGTGCACCAATATGATATCAACTTTCTGCAAAGCGTTGTTTTTCCAATACCAGCCTCTCCACTTAGATAGATATTATCAAGTCGTTCGTCATTTGGCGTGAATAGATCAGTTAATGAAGCTAGGATAACATTTTCAGTTTTGGTCCTTCCCTTTCTAATAACTTTGACTATTAACGGGACGTATACCTCATCTATATGGACATTCTCGTCGGGAAGAAGAGGGGATACGTCTGTTGTAAGGTAGTAAGACCGATAGTAATTGATAAGATGTTGCTGGACCTCTGTAAATCAAAATGAACAAAATAACCTATCGTAGCTATCTTACTCGATGAGTTCGTTTAAGTAAAAAAGCAATAATTAGTTAATTTGAGAGGTCTTGGTGAAAAGTGAAATCCATTCATGAGCAAAAAAAAAACACCCCAAAAAAACCAACAAGCTATTTCATCTTTTCAATGTAAAACTAAATCGAAAGTTCATTTTTCGGATATAAAGGATTTATTCACTCCCAAAAAAGGAGTATCGATGTGTTTATAAAACATCGGGTATAAAATTTTGATGCTTAACTAACAAAATGTTAAACTTTCGCTTCTTATTGATAAAATAATAATCATTCCACTACCTGTCAAAGTAGCTTCTGTTTGTCCAGTTGGATCACAACCTTTAATCTGAAAATAATTTTTAAACATTTTTGGCTTTGTATGCTATAAAGATCTTTCATAAATCAAAAGTATCGAATATGAATTCTTAAAAAAAACACCACAGCAAACAATTGCTTCTATCTAAAAAGTAGACACCTTTTCTTACGCAAATATACCAATAACGTCACAAGTAAAATAGAGAAAAACAAAATCCCTAAGGAATGCCCAACAAGGCATGTTGCTGGCTCGGTTTGATTAAGCCTGTTCGTGGACGGTACTGGAAAGTGTAAGTTACCGTCCACGCTCCCTAGTTAGCCATTAGCAACAAAAAACACCATTTCTTAATTACAAGATGATAGAGATAATGTAATTTCAATGGCTATGTGTACTTTTATACGTGTTATCATGTTATCCATAAAATGATCCTTTTATGGTTGGATTTTACGTCGCACCAATACTGTATATCATAAGGCGAGCCGACTTTCCGGGTTATCTGGTGTAGGATGGCCTCGGATGCCCCTCCGTGTATTTCCTGTATTTAAGTCACGAACAGGCACCTGAGGAGAACCACCGGCGTTCGGTTAGCTAGATGCCTGATAGCTTCCTTACATGAAAAGATCCAAACTCCGAGGTGGAATTCGTAACCACAGCGGAGCGGGGCAAGTGATTTGAAGTCGACTACCTAAATCACTCGGCCAAAGTCACTCCTGAAAAAGATGTATTGCTTTTCTAGTATTGCTATTACCCCATGCCTCTATACCCATGGTTAAGAAAATAATAATAAAAAAATCATTACCTTTTGACTGCCAAATACACCATTTTGTCGCAGTTGTTGTTGTTTACGAACTTCCTCTTCCATTTTATTTACAAAATCAGTCCTTTTTTCTTCTACTTCAGACAGCATCATGTCATGCCTATGTTTTAAATGCTTCGTTTGTTCTTCTATGTCTTTAACTAATTTCTTTCGCAACTCATCGGTTTCTCTTTGAAGATGTTCACATGAAGATTCAGTTTTTAACGCAATGCTTGATTGCATCTTCCATTCGAGTGAGTTACATTATTTTGTTAATTCTTGAATTGCCTCTTGCCGCTTTTCTTCTATTGCTTTCACTGCTGAATGTATCATTTCTTCTGCTTCTACTTCAGTTATACTTATTTGATTACTTCTGACCTGCAACGGAACTAAAACACTCTTATACTGTTCCTCTGTAAATACGTGTTAGTGGCTTTGTTTTTTGAAAAACGCATTTTTAGCTTTCAAATGTTTACGATGTTTGTGACATTAAAGAGATAAATATGTACTCGTTTATAACAGTATAATATGTGTTAATTCCTGTAAAGTAACCTTACTTGGCAAAATTGAAAATATTGCAGGTCCGATTTTATTAAGTTTGTTCGTGAAATGCGCTTCTATATGCGAATGGTAACATGCAAATTTCAACACAGCCGTTGAGTAGGCTGCCGCAATACTTTCAATTTTACCGTTTTGGACGACGTTCTTTACCGACTCCGTTTTTCTCTATTTTATTTGTACATAGCAACCTGCCTTTGCTTACATTAAAAGTGCACCATTTGCGTATCATTACATCATTACAGTATTTGTTTTGGGTAATAAAATACAAATGTAAATAACACAGGTTTGTGAGTAACAGTAAACATATCTCTCGTAAAATACTTAATGATCAACATTATTTTTTGTCCAATCACATTGAAGTATTTTTCAAATTTCTGCTAAGTCTAACTTTGGATAACGTGTACTAACTAAATAAAATTTACTTAATCTGTCATCTAACCAGTCTAACAAATTTCAATAATGCATTATATTAGGGAGGAGTTAGAGGTTTGGTTTGCACCCTGAATTGTAAAATATCTATAGGTTTGCAAAACAATGCCAACGTAAAACAATAAGCGAGGTCCGGTGTTTCTAAATAAGAGGATACAATCAATTAATTTATTACATAGAAAATACAAGTGGGGCACGCAGAGATAAATGATTACATAGTAACTTTACTGTAAGAAAAATGTCTGTTGTAAATTGCTGACTGTTTTAAACTTTATATTTTCTAGAAAAAGTAACCAAAACATTATTTTCTTTCAGTCATAGAAATCAACTGCATTAACAATCCTTGATATTAGAAAACAATGTTTACATTTTTGGCGCGAAAACTCATTGTAAATGGACCCTACCTGTGAACTTAAAGTGACACACAGAAAAATAAAAAAAATCAACTGTTTTTCAAATGAGCAAATCATTAGGAATTTTAAATGTTAGTGAATAACTTGAAGCTAATAACGAATTTGTATCAATTAATAATCTCTAATGAACTTTTCTCAGATTTTTTTTCAAGATATTTATATAGGTACTGTAGATACAGGTATAAAATTTATTCTGTGATATTTCAGTAAAATATGTGCCTAATTATATATTGAAAGGGCCATTTATTTAGCCTATCTAAATGTGACATGTTAGAAACTTGACAAGGTGTAGACATCTTGTAGAGCGATCGGTGGTTTAGAAAAATGCCTTGTTTTTGGTTGAAAAAAAAATGTTGATCATTAAATAGGTTAATGTTTAATAATACACATTAACAAAAATAATTGGTGGTCTGTGTGGCGCCGTTATATGTCGCAACGCCGAAAAATGTCGCACTTGCCGCTAAATGTCGCACCATTGACGCTAAATGTCGCAACCGCCGCTAAATGTCGCAAAATCATTTGCCGTTAAATGTCGCAATGTTAACGTTAAATGTCGCACGAATTTCCCTTACCGTTTAATGTCGCAACACTACCGTTAAATGTCGCAAGATGTAATTTTATGTTGAACTCAAGTTTTATTGTTGTATCATATTAATTAAATCTGTCTACTCAAATTGAAAGCTAGTGAATTTATTATATATGGAACTGCGCTACAATTTAGGCGGCGATAATACTCATCTTGTAAATAAATGTATATTGTTTAGCGTTCGATTTTTAGCTGATCTTATGCAAGTACATATTGATAATTATACAATTGTCTACTATTTGTATGGAACTGCAAAATTGGCATTGTTCTGTAAATAGTTTAGTAAAATTGTGTCTGTAAATGGCAGAAGAGACAGGCTGCCTGAGGTGGCAGTCTGATGGCCTAGTTGACTGAGGAGGCAAATTGTCTCGCTGTTGGAAGAGGAAGCCTAAATTGCTGACGCCCTAGGCCTTAGGAGTTTGCCTAACGCCCTGATAGCCTAACGTTGGCAGCCTGGTATCCTGATGAGGCCGCCTCACATCCTAACAGCCTATCGATGTCAGCTTTGCAACCTGAAGTTGGAAATCTAACAGCTTAGAGTCGGCAGCCTAGTAGCTCAAAGTTAATGACTTATATTATAAATATGGAAACAATTTAAAATACATTAAAATCACTATGAAAGGTAATGCAAAAGCACATACACATGCATGATTATGGGAAAAAATGCATTTACCTTTAGGACACTTAACTTTGTAGTCTAATAGTCTAAAGCTGGCAGTCTAGTAGCCTGGCAGCCTAAAATTGGTGTCATGTTTTAAAAAATGGAACGATCAAAGTAATAAAACGGCAAGTTGGATTTTTCCTAAAATCTACTCGTACAAATGGCTTCATAATTTACACATTTATTAATCAATACAATAAACTTGATCCTGGCAAGTAACATTATTATTTCATAAATTTTAATCAAGTTATTGTCATTTTCAGCAGTTTGAGAATGAATATCGTTAACCTAAACCGGCAGTTGGATTTATTTAAGTACTGTCTAATAATCTTATGGCTTCATAATTTCCACACTTATTTATTTAGGAAAAGTTCATGATATTGCCATCCATTTTCCCAAGTTATATTCCTTTTTTTTCACTTTGAAAATAGGACCTTGTTTGGTTAACCTATTCCAGTAAGTTGGATTTATCTTAAAAAATTATTTAATGATATCCTCTATATAGGTGCATACCAGTAATGGCCATGTATTTTTTATGGAGTAAGGGTCCCTAGTGTCAAGGTCACAGGTGTGATTTTTTTTATAACATTTTTGCTCATTAAGCCTTTATTGTTAAGATTATGTATTTCGTGTTTAATACAAACATGCCAAGGGAGGTCCTCTTCCTGTGGGTTTAGTTGGGAGTCATGTGGGTAAAGGCCAAAGTCACTAATGCCAAAAATAGATTTTAACATTTTTACAGGTGTTTTAACATTATTCTTTTGGAAAATGTCTTTTATATTTGGTAGGAACATGGAATTGAGGTCTTCTCCTTTGGATAGAGTTATGGTTCAGTTGGGTCAAGGTCACCAGTTCTGAAATAGATTTCTACTCTTTACAGCCTTTATTTATTGACAAATGTATTTCATATTTGGAAGGTAGATAACTTGCATGGTATTCTTCCTTTTGATTGAGGAAGGGATCATTTGGTCATGGTCACAAATGCTAAAATAGATTTAAATTTGCAGGATGAAGTTCACACCAACAGTTTATGCTCTTATCAAATTTGCTAGTCGTATGCGTGTTTTATTTCCATTTTAACGCCAGAAAGACAGTGGTCATTCATATTATTGTTGCGATGAATTAAAAAGATGTTTTCTTTACACATCTGTTCCATTTTTTTGTTTTGAAAAATAAAGTTCTTAAAATTATCTTAAAATAGATACACTATTGTGCGTATGTTTGTATTTATGGTCATTTGAACTTCACTACGACGTACTCGACATGCGCATTTAAGGACGAACATAAAAGTGGTTACATATATCTAACCAATATCGTCGTTACATATGTAAAATTCATGTCTTGTGTTTTTCGAAAAATGTCAGATTTAATTTCATTGAAATATTTATAATAAAGCGTTACAGATTAAGATTTTCATAACAGCAAAGCAATGATATAAAAAGCCTAAATTCTCTGGCCAAAACGGCTAGCTGTCTTCAGCCAAACAGCAAGGCCAATATGAGCTTAATCAATTATTTGAATTCTTATTATATGATATTTACTGAGAATCTTTAATAGCATAAAGCGACTTGGCGAGTAAAATATATCATTTGCCACAATGTCAAAGCGTAAATATGTGTTTGACCAATAGTAAGTAAAATGTACTAATCTTTGTGTACTTATTTTAACTTTGACATCTGCTTACTGTGTGTGAATTTGCGTTTATTTATACTCGCCCACCGGTTGGCCATATGGGCGAGTCCTCCAGAAAGAGTACAAGTCATTTTAGATTTTGGAGGATAGTGCAATTTACAGATATAGAAAGAATGCTCCGATTCCGGAAGCTTCCCCTTCTTTAAAGTGCCAAGTTGTTTTTAGGCACCCATACACGGGAAACCTCGATTTAAAGTATCATCCGAAAGACTTATCAGTAATTTTAGTTGGCCAGCCCGGAAATAGAACCAACAAGGTCGAGGTTACAAGTCTCGAGCTCTATGCGGGCTGGCTGCTTACAAAAATTCCGGTGCATATAATCGTAAAATTCGCTCATATCTAGCACCCGACTGCGGATCGAATACTACATGATCAAGGAGTACTACATGATTTTTTTCTTTGATTTTCGTATTGACCGTGCATTTCATACTATGTTTTTCACGTATTTGCCGTTTCAGTTAAAATAAAAAAAATTGCCTTGATATTCAATCTATATTTCACGTTTGAAGTGAATATTTGTGATGTTGTTTTTATTTGGAAAAATAAAAAGGGAGATATTTTAGAAAAAATACCTTTCTGGGTCATCTGTCATTTAGAAATGCATAAGTACTTTCATATGAAATAAGTATTTTAAGTTTAAAGTGAATATGTTTGAAATAAGCCGTAACCAAAAGGTTAATCAGAGCGAAAACATCTTAGAGAAATAAGGGGAATAACTTAGCAAAATATAACTAGGATTATGTGCCTTTTGATATTGCATCATATGAGCATAGTGAACAACTAAACCACTTTTAAAGTAAATTCGGTAGATTCTGAGAAAAGAAATGAAATGACTTAAACCAAATTCTGAAAGCGACAATACCATTATACCTTTAATCTGTTGTCAATCAGGGTTACAAACGAAAATGTTAAACAAAAGAAAAATACTTATCTATTAAGAATTTAGTATCAATTATCCTTTCTAGCCTGAAGATTACATTATAATATTATAGCAGCTCAAAACCTCGAAATTTAGGTTCATTAAAGAAACCAAGTAAGACAAAGATAATTTTTGTGTAATTGCAATTACAATTAAAATAACTATGAGAATGTTAAAAGGTAACATAATTCTACTTTAAAAATGATTTTAACATGAATTTACATCTTGCGACATTTAACGGTAGTGTTGCGACATTTAACGGTAAGGGAAATTCGTGCGACATTTAACGTTAACATTGCGACATTTAACGGCAAATGATTTTGCGACATTTAGCGGCGGTTGCGGCATTTAGCGGCAATGGTGCGACATTTAGCGGCAATTGCGACATTTAGCGACATTGCGACATATAACGGCGCCACAGTCTGCCTGCGGCAGGCTTGACCAATTATTTTTGTTAGTATGTTTTATTAAACACTAACCTATACTTAATTATCCGAGGCGTTCTCGAAATGATATATTAACATTTACCCACAAACCTTGTTATTTTTATAATGCTATTTGAGCTGTTTTTCTTTTATGCAAGAACAAACAATAACAGTAAATATCTTATAACCTTTTCAATATTTTCTACAGCCTTCATTGCGACTTCATACGTAACGAGTGAACGACTATCTTCAAGTACTTCAATCATGACGTCAAGGTATGTTTCCAGTTTCTCTATTGAAATTTCAAATTTGCTCGAATGAAATAGCTCATTTCTTACGTCACGTGCCTGGTAAAATTGTACAAAATTGAACGTGTGAAATGTTTTAAAAGTATTTCATTTTAATTTATCCTGCTATTGTCTATATCACCAGCTGGATAAAGCCTTGCCGGTTAAACTTATCTATCTCCAGTCAATACGTCACATGATGACGTCACATGTATAGCAGCAAAACAAAACTGCATATAGACGCTATTTTATCGGGGGAAAAAAGAAGAATGAAACCATTTAATTATTCTAAAACATGATAAAAAGCAGGGTAAATCAAATACATGGTTGATATCGGGATGGAGAAGGTTTATCCGGTGAGCGAGAAAGTGTATCTTGGCGAGCTTTAACATCAACCATGTATTTTCTATTTAGATCTACCCTTTTAAGATAGGATTTTGTTGAAGGGAAAAGTAATGCCTTCAATCAAGTAGAGACCGTAGGCGATCAGGACAACGCACTTCTGTGCATCACTTAATAAAATGCTAAGTAAGGTTTTCTTAACTGTGTTTTGGCTTTACGCCACTCTAAGTCTAACACAAAAAGAAATGGCTCATGCAAATTTCGTAGAATAACAGTTAAATGCTTTTACATATATAAGACCTTACTATATATTACCCAACTGAACAGGCAAAACACTTTGTAATATATATGGAATATGTATATACAGTGTTTGTCGAGTAAGTAAAATATTTAAAGTAAAAATCAATATTAATGTAATTCATTTACCTTTTTAAATTTGGCAATATCTTCAATGTAGTCTTTAAAGAAGATGTTGTTTATGGCTATAGTTAGAAGGCCGGACACATCTATTTGAGCACATGTATGTACATCAATATGTCCCTGCATTCCTAAATATAATTTCGCAACTTCGAAGTAGTCACTGCACCAACTTTGGAGATCGGAGTTCTCCCAAATAGGATTTCTTTCTTCATGATCAAGGATGATGTGATCATACAACCGGCTACAACAATTACTTGGACACTTTCGCCTGCCATGCGAGTCTTTACACAAGCATTTTTGCCGATTTCGTTGAATGCAATGACGTGTGGGATGGTCAGGAAGGAGGTTGACAGTAGAGCAGTTGTTACAACCCGTGTTCGCTACTACCTGCCCTTTTGATAACTTGCCTAAAAGGTTGTTGTGGTGCTTTTTTGCAGTATCGTCAATAAATTCACTCAATCCGTATTGGAGATACCTCAAAGCATAAACACCTCTTACCCAATTTCGGAACAAGGGGTTACGGAGATCTTTATAACTTGACATCTGGTGCGTTTATGATAGAGGCTAAACCTTAAAATAGGGTTTTCATAATGACATGAGATCGTTCACCTGAAATATTTATAAGAAAGTGTTTCAGTGAAAATGTAAAAACAAGTTTACCCAAATTCAAAGTTCCATTTCACAAACAAATTGGGCTTTAAATATTTCAAAGTTTGTAGACAGAAGTAAAATTTCAAAAGTTGATATCTAGGTTAATCATCGAATGTGAAATCCCATAGCGATAAGTACATGATTTGTATACCTTTTGCAATGGGGTCAAGTTGGAAATACTTCATGCCAAATATCTAATCTCAAAGCTATGTACCATGTTAACATGCATGTAAAAAAAAAACACTTTAAGTACTTCAAGAACAATCAGAGTTATGGATTATATATAAATTTGCTGAAGATGTCGATAAAGCTATTTTTTATAAGCTTTAAAGGAGAACAGGGGCGTACCTGGCTTAATTTTGAGTATACGCCTTATTACAGTCCCTTAGGCCAAAGTGTCCTATTTGCATGAAGTCTGACGTGAAGATTGCTTTTATTAAATAATTAAAAAAAGTTATTTACCATTAGGAAAACAAAATATAGCCATATACCTCTATTATAATCAAGATGGTTAACTGTTTTTTTCATTTGTTTCCTTTTTCAATATACCTAGACATGAGATCATCGTCGGAAACCACGGTACACATTCCGAATATTACTACATTTAATACATGTATACGGTAAACCGCATGGGTTACCGAGGATGACATGAGATAAAATCAAGGAAAAATATTGCTATAAAACGTATTTACCATTAGAAAAACAAATCATAGCCACGTATCTCTATTATAATTAAGATGTTTAAAACAACATTTTTGTTTCATTTTTTTAAACGATCTGTATGACCATAAAACGAACACAGCAGATTAATTGTTTAAGTGTAATAATAATCTATAGCATCAAATCCACACCTTAAATGTATTGATACGCGATCACTTAGGTCCATAAGAAATTAAAAATTTAGACGTGCATTATGTTAACATTTACATAATTTTACTCTTTACAATTCATCCGATATATTTAAGTTATATTATTACGCAGTTGAAATTAATACATTACTAGTCTGGCAAAAATTCAAGTCAAAACCTTTAAAAATCAAAGGGCTGCAGCTCTATGGTATTTTCTGATTTTTGCAATCTAAATCATACTGACTATCTGTATGTACTTAAAATTCCTGTACAGGGTCTTTCAAATAGAAATTTGAAAGACCCTGTCCTGTATAAGTTTATTTTTATATACTATAATTTATCTTACGCAGCGACAGCGTTTTGATTTTCTTCTATAACAGATTGAGATTGATACATATGGAATTTTGCATGAAAAAAAAATAGAATTGCCTCGACTAAGATTTGAACCATAGGCCTCTCACACCCTCAACGAGACCGCTTACCTCTGCACCACGGCGAAGTTATACATATGTACCTTGAATAAAAACGAATACATTATGTAATTCTAAATTGAGAATTTCCATTTCGTGTTTGTAATCCTTATTAATTTCGAGGTATTTTGTTCACGATAAACCTGTTGTTTAACACTGAATGAAAATAATTTAGTGAAAATCTTCTTCGCCAAAACAGTCCGACATGTATATATTTCCACTACTCGACAGTCAGATTTATTTGTGTACTACGCTCTGGAGTATTCGGTAATCGCTAAAAATAGCATTTCATTGATTAAAATGATATTCATGGATAATCCGAAGCTTTACGGAAATAGCCGAAACATTTTTCATTGGGTAAAAAAGATATTCATCCGCGAAAATTTGTGATTGTAACCTCATATTTCTGTTGACTAATCTAAACTTTTAATGCACTGTAATTCGTTAAATGCCTACATTAAAAATTATTCTTTCTTTTAAATTGCTGGTTTTTAAGCAGTTTTGAGTGAGAACTACTTTGCGTTGTTAGGACTGTTAGGAAATTTTGTGTTAGACCGTGGATGTTAGCTATGTATTTACTGATCTGACGATCAGAAAATACAAAAAGAAAACTGACATATAGGATTTTGTATCGCATGCAAATATTTACAAATGAACAGGAAAATTACGGTTTATTTAAAGCAAGAGTAGAAACATATTTAAGTTTTGTAAAAAGTTAAAAATGAGAAAAAAGAAGAAAGAACATTCTCTCATATGGCTTTACTTTGTTTATATTGTGATTTTATCTCTGTTCTGTATATTATATATATAGACGAGACTATTATAAAATACAATGTACATAAAAGATGTCATTGTTTGCAGAAACACAATTCATTTCTATAGTCAATGAAATATGTTTAAATAGCTTTGTATAGTGATATATCTTGTAAATCTACTATTTTTAGGGACTTAAATTTGATTAAAAATGTTATTAAAGTTGAGTTCGGTTTGTGATGCTAGTTGTGGGATGTTGTTTGCTGCTTAGATCAGATTTGTAGGACTCAGATAATCCTACACAGTTTCAAATGAATCTGTAATGAATGTGACAGACTAATACATTGACAAACAACTACAGGATTAATTATGACAAGGCTAACACGTTTTCCTTTGTACTACAAAAGTTCCAGGCAAACATAAAGTTCAGTGAGGTTTATAAACATAATAACATTTTGTTTTTTAAGTTTTAAAAATGATTATCCTTAATAAAATCCGCATAGGGTGGTATAAATTGAATTTTTATAGTAATTCAAACATAACCTACTTGAAATTGATTATTTGTATTAGAAATAAAAAACACAATAGAAAATTTCTCGCTAAAATTTCTTCCCGTGTTCTTTTCTCTTGTAAACATGTATGTGCTTTACTCGCCTTTGATTGTATGAACATATATTTGACTAAAGTTACATCGTAAGCATACCTATGGAATCAATAAGCAGGCTAGCTACGCAACTATAGACCGATCTACATAATTTTTTTCACGTCATTTTTTTTAAATTTTAATTTCTCGAAACTCTATTTAGCACAAATCATTATTTTCTTTCAAAATAAACATTTCTTTTTAAAGAAATTTTAGTAAATGATGTAAAATTATTTTTTGAAATTTATGGTTAGCTCTGATACGAGTATATTATTGATTTGAAAAAAAAAAAACGATGGATAATACTATCAGAATCTTACACCGGCTGTCGGTACAGACTGGAATATGTTGCTCGAGGGTAACTGTAACAGTTTACGATGGTAACGAGGCTCTGTCGAGTTTCGCGCTAAACAGTTACCCGAGAGCTAGATATTCCCGTCTGTACCGACAGCCATTGTTTGATTCTTTTTCTTGCATATTAAATCATAGGCACTTGGTTTCGGGATAAAAAGCCTTTTGAAGGGTTTGTAGAACCCAAATTTGATTGAATGTAACGATTTTTTAACGTAGATCTAGATGTCTCGATTCTAAATTCGTCATTTTTCCGATATTACTATCGGAAAAATGACGGTTTTAGGAAAGAGACATCTACGTTAAAAAAATCGTAACATTCAATCAAATTTGAGTTCTACAAACCTCTAAAAGGCTTTTTATCCCGAAACCAAGTGCCTATGTATTAAATGTCATTTATTTTCGGAACAGAAATTACGAAAGCTGATATTTTCATTACGCATTTTTTTCTTATAGTAGCGTATGAACTGACAAACTTCATTCATAACGGTAAAATGACGTCATCCTTAGAACGCTATTCATTCATAAAGGCGCGCGGCAATGACTTCAATTAAATCACGCGAATTGTCTTACATGGGGGTGTAAGACAGGGTTTTTAGCACCACCGAAAACGGTAGATAATCCTGTCTGATATGCAAGAAAATATAAACTGCATCGTATCCACAAAACTTCATAAAAATTCTGGTCCGCTTCAAGTTGCAAGTTCGCTATAATTTTGATTGCCAAAATAGTTGTGAAAGCAGCATGTACCGAACGAAGCGGAAAATTGTGTAGCGTGTTAATACATATATCTGGTTTACAGCCATTTCCAACAAAAAAGAGAGTAATAGACACAAACATACGTTTTTTCGTTCTAAGATGGCGGCGTTTGTTTACGTTTTTTGGGGAGGCTATGCCGACCCAATGTTAATAAACTGTTCGTCAAATCTTACTGCCGCGGTAATCAGGTCAAAAAAATAGTACCTTGATTTTTTCTAAGCTGACTCATCACTCATCACAGACATTTACAATATAAAAATATTTTCATTGTTTTATTTCATATTTAAGGATACGGCGCAGTTTTTGATTCCCAGTCCTGGTGCGGGCGCCGTAGCGAGATTGGCGGGGGTGCGGAGCAAAAACACGCCAATAAGCGGAGGCGCGGGGCGAAGTTTAATAAATTAATCGTCGCCACGCGGGGGCGCGGAGCGAGATTTAAGCAATAAAAACGGTGGGGGCGGCGGAGCAAAAACACGCTTATTAGCGGGAGCGCGAAGCGAAGTTTTTATTTATGTAACTTCGCCCAGCGCCCTCTCTTCTTAGCGTGTTTTCGCCCCGCGCCCCGCAATTGTTGATTTGGTAGGATCGCGGGGCGAAAAACACGAAATGGCCATAAATCAGCCACCATAATTTTGGCCTACTCTCACTTTGGACCCGCTTAGTAACAATGCTGAATAACCTTAAAATATATGTACTTTCGGTTTCTAAAACATAATTCAGTTAAAATATGTACATTTTACTAGTATATCAAAAATTACTTAATTAATGTGAATTTGAAACACCATAAGTTAAAGTAAACTTACTAAACAAAATCCAAATATTTACATACTTTTTGTGTTGACATGTCTAGTTTTAAGTCTAGGTTACACCAAAAATATCGTCATACTATCCGTTCTGTTGCATTCAAGTGCAGTGAGGCGTTTAAAATATAGGATGCAAGTATCATATTCTCTTGTCTTGCATTATGTAGAAACCCCTACTTGAAAGATTTTTAAAGATTAAATTATGTGACATCCGCGAGAAAATAAGAACACATTCTTTTTTTTTGTACAATGTTTTAGCTGTCAAGTCGCCGGAAGAAAACCCGCGACTATATTTGTAACAGTTTAAATAATATATCTATGGTAG